ACGAGTATCACTTTATGTCTCACTGTCCAGTCCAATCCCTGTGTGAAGAGTTGGCCTCGGAAATTGTTTTAGTTCTGGGCTGATAGAGAATCCAGCGGCCATGTTTTCTGGGGTTCCTCCAGTCTCAGTCAGACCATTAAGTCTGGTCTTCTTACTAGAATTTGAGTTCTGCACCCCACCTTTCTCCTGTTCCATCAGGGACTCTCTGTTGTGTTCCCTGTCAGGGCAGTCACTGCCCATCGGGGGAATTTTAAAGAGCCAGCTGATGGTCACATGCTGCCCCCACCCTTTGACCTACATTCCCAGTCTGTCATCACAACCTAACATGGAGCTTGTCTGAGACAGGAGGTGTTTGGGGCTTCACGCCTGCCCTTTTACACTTGGGGAAACTGAGGCCTGGAGCAAGAAGGCTTGCCCAAGGACACACAGCTATTCCCTGCAGCCTCCTGACTCCCAGCCCAACGCCCTTTCCCCCTGGCTCTGCCTCACTTTGAAACACCCTTGGGAAAATGTCTGTGTCTCCTCTTTGCTTCTTGTGCAAAGTTCAGATTCCCTAGAAACTTCCACCTAGTTTTCCAGCTTCGCTTCTCCCTCTGTGTCCACGCTGGCCCCAGCCCTCTGGGCTGTGATATCTACTGTGAATCTTCACAGCCACAGTAAAGCAGGTGAACCTTGTATGCGCTAAGTCCTCTACATCAGCTCTCTCACTGAAGTTCCAGAACTGCGCCGTCCAATATGGAAGCCAATGACCACATGTAGCTACGTAAAGTAAAACTGAAACTCCAGTTCCTCTGTTGCACTTACCATATTTCCAATGCTTGCATATTGGATAGTGCAGATACAGAACATTCCATCATCGTAGAAACTTTCACTGGACAGTGCTGCTCTAGAACAGCTCCGAAAGTCTGGACTAATGTTATCCTTATTTTATAAATAACACAACTGAAGCTCAGAGAGATCAAGTCCAAGGTCATATAGCTAGACCTGGGATCCAAACCCATAGTCCCTGGAGGCTAGAGACGAATGGCAGAGTGGGCAGGTCGATCCTTCCTTGGACCCGGCAAGCTGCCCTCATTTGGTTCAGAACACACATTGTGATTCTATAGACCGCATTCCACCGCTTAAGCACTTTATGTGTGTCTTAATTTGTTACACCCTAGAGGCAGCCAATAGTCTAATCAAGAAGTCCACTTTCAAATCCTTTTGCAATCCATATCTTTATCCAAACCAGAGGTTTTGCTCATTAGCATAATGATTCCCAGAAATGTTTTATTGGTGAAATTAGTGGTTTGTCAATTAGCTTAATAAAGGTCAAAAAAATAGGCCTCCATGGGTGAAATTAATGGTATTCAAACGTGTGAATTGGCTAAAATATCTAAGACTCACTACCCAACCTTGTATGAACAGATTAGAAAAAGCTTGAATCCTGAGCGGTCTATGTCCATCTATTAATTTGGATGATTCAGGTTGCCTGATACCCATAAGGCTTAAAACCTCGTTGCCGTTGAGTCGATTCTGACTCATAGTGACCCTATAGGACAGAGTAGAACTGCCCCACAGGGTTTCCAAGGCTGAAATCTTATTCAATCTATATGCTGAACAAATAATCTGAGAAACTGGACTATATGAAGAAGAACACCACACCATGATTGGAGGAAGATTCATTGACAACCTGTGATATGCTGATGACACAACCTTTCTTGCTGCAAGTGAAGAGGACTTGAAGCACTTACTGATGAAGATCAAAGATGACAGTTTTCAGTATGGATTACACCTTAACATAAAGAAAACAAAAATCCTCACAACTGGACCAATAAGCAACATCATGATAAGCGGAGAAAATATTGAAGTTGTCAAGGATTTCATTTTACTTGGATCCACAATCTACATCCATGGAACAGCATTCAAGAAACCAAACAACGTTATTGCACTGGGCAAATCTGCTGCAAAAGACCTCTTTAAATTGTTAAAAAGCAAAGATGTCACTTTGCGGATTAAGGTGTACCTGACCCAAGCCATGGTATTTTCAATTATCTCATATGCATGCAAAAGCTGGACAATGAATAAGGAAGATCAAAGAATCGATGCCTTTGAATTAAGGTGTTGGTGAAGAATATTAAATATACCCTGAACTCCAGAAGAACAAACAAATCTGTCTTGGAAGTACAGCCAGAATGCTCCTTAGAAGCAAGGATGGTGAGACGTTGTCTCGAATACTTCAGACATGTTATCAGGAGGGACCAGTCCCTGGAGAAGGACATCGTGCTTGGTAAAGTAGATGTTCAGCAAAAAAGAGGAAGGCTCTCAATGAGATGGATTGACACAGTGGCTGCAACGATGGGCTCAAACATAGCAACGATTGTGAGGAAGGCATAGGACTGGGCAGTGTTTCGTTCTGTTGTACACAGGGTTGCTATGAGTCGGAACTCAGAACCGACTCCACGCACCTAACAACAATCTTTACAGGAGCAGACTGCCCCATCTTTCTCCCACGGAGCAACTGAAGTGTTCGAACTGCCAACCTTCCGGTTAGCAGCTGGGTGCTTTAACCACTGAGCCACGAGCGCTCCTTTCATAAGACTTACAAGCTCTAAAGTACCCAGAAATTGTTACAACAATAAAAAAAGAGAGAAAATATCCTGCCTTTGGGATATTCACTTTTTTTTTTTTAATGTAACGTGAAGATTGGAACACCAAAATGGATAGAACACTGGAAACTCATGGAACTTACAGGTATGTATTCTTCTGTGCCTGTGAATCAAATTTAATATCTGTGCAGCAGAACTAGGCCTAAGACCTTTTATCATAACCTGGTAGCCAGATGTGGAGGCATCATCAATCCGGCCCCCTGGAGGTTTCTGAGGCCACTGCTAGGTACCAGAAGAACCAGAGTTGTGTCAGCCGGCAAGGCTTATTCTTGTCTGTTGGCCTCCAAAGGCTGAGTGGCCTGCACCTCCACTTGGCTCCCTGGGTCCCTGTGCCAGGACATGCCTGGGCCTGACGCTACCTCCGGCCGAGCTCTCCATATCCTCCTCAAGTTCTCGTCACAATTCCAACTGCTTAGGGAGGGGAAGAGATAGACAACTCCCCCGCCCCACTAGGCACAGTGCAGTGCAGGAGAGAGGACCCTCAGGAAACAAGATGGGAATGAAACCACACGAGCCAGGAAGATCGGTGAAAGCCTCGGTTTAATTGGAGACACGATCGAAGGTTTGATTATCGATCGACAGACCGACTGATCGTCAAGTAGACAACACACAAGAAGCTCATGGGGGTCCTGCACCCACCCTGGGGAGAGGAGCCCTCATTAGGGGTGTGGGATCCATCTTGCCAGTCACCCGGATCCTGGGGAAGAGGGAGGGGGCAGGCTCTGCCCAGCTGGCCCTCAGCCCCTCCGGTGACACGACTTCTATGGTACAGTTTATATAATACAGCAGGAGTGGAAATTCTCCTTCTGGAGATCCCTCCCTCCTTCCCCTGACTGGAGCAGCCAGGGAAGGGCAAGTTTTATTTTCCCTTTTTGCCTCTGTAAAATAATTTACAAACAAACCTTAGAGCATTTACAAAAGGAAAAAAAAAGAAAAGGCCCACTCTGGTTGCCGGCTGAGAGGGAAACTGCTTTTGCTACAAAAATAAACCCTGTTCAGCATCATGGGGGTGGGAGCGAGTGCTCCTCACCTCTGGGATGGACAGATGGAAGGCTGGCTGGGGGGAGAGGGACTGAGGGCTACAGTACCATGTGCTCAGAACTGGGGGAGGGGGGACGGGCAATGAAAGAGATAGCCCCCGCCTTGCCAAGCTGCAGAGCCAGGCTGAGGGGCGTAGCGGGAGGGAGAAGAGGGGTTCTTTCCTTCTAAGCAGTTCCCCATGGCTTGGAGAAGGTGATCTTGCATCTGTCTGTCCTATTGCTGGGGAATAGCCAGGGTGAGGGGGCAGGTGGGTTGGGGGTGGGGGGACAGGGATGGGACAAAGGAGAAACAATTACGGTGCTGGGACAAGGAGTGCCCAGGAAGGGGGATGTGGGTGTATACCATTATTGCTTCCTCCTAGGGCAAAGGGATGGGCAAAGGGTCAGAGTCTGGAGGGAGCTGGGAGAAGGATGGAGGGGCATGCCCAGGATGGGGGCTCTGGGCCTGGCCCCACCCCACCCCAGGTATAGTGGGGAGCCACTGCAACCCACTCTCCTGTGGCCACGGGAGTCATTAAGGCAGAAACAAGAGGAGAAGCAGCTGGGCGAGGGTGTGGATCAGAGCTGCCCCCCCAAACGGAAAAAATTCCAAATGAACCAGAAGAGGAAGGGGGTGGCAAGTGGAGGGGGGTCGAGCCTTCACCAAGTCTCAGGTCCAGGGCTAGTGGGTGTAAATGGCCCCTCACCTCTAAAGTGAACAGTTCTCCCACACCCTGTCCCCCCAGTCAGTATTGCCGGGTTTGTGCAAAATGAAGCAGAAGACTTCTGGCGGGGCAGGAAGCCAGAGAGGGGCTGGAGCTGGGGCCTCCCACAGTGAACCCCCCAGCCCCACTCAGAATGGCTATTCTTGGCTGGGTTCTAGAGACCCTCCCAATTCGGGAGAAAAACCTGGAGGGACTCCCCACCCGGTTTGGGCCCCGGGCTAAGAGGCCGGAAGACTGAGCCTGGAACCTGGGGGTCGGGCGGATGGGGGGGACGTGGAGGTGGAAAAGGGAGCCTGGAATGGGAGCGTCTACAGTTGCTGTGTTTCGTTCTTTTTTTTTTTTTTTTCTTTTTCTAAAAATGTAACAATTAAAATTCAAAAAATAAAATCCCTTCCCAGACCTCAGCCCCTCGTTCCCCAGCCCCCACCTCCAAAAAAAGGCCCCATGGGTGGGGGTGGGGGAAAAGGGAAAAAAAAGAAAAGAGAAAAAAAACCACTTTTCTGTTTTCTTTTTTCTCAGGCCCAAGAGTTTTTGAGGCAGCAGAGGAGGTGGTCGGGGAGTGATGGTGGAGGAGGGCAGGAACGGCAGCAGGGTCTGGGGGCTAGGGCTCAGGTGGGGCCTCCACCTGACCCCCACCCGCTGGGAGCTGGCAATGTGGCTGGAGCCTGGCTGGATGTCCCAGTGCACACGCTGCACGCTCGCTTGGCAGCCTGATGCTCCCTTTGGGCCCCCACCTCGGCCGCCGTGGAGGGGAGGCCCAGGAGGCCCGGGACCTCCTCTTCAGGGGGTGGGGTCCTCAAGGCAGGCAGAGGGGGGCTTTCAGGGGACAGGGTAGCGGGGCTGCTGTGGCTTACAGCATCCAGAGCCACAGATGCGTCTTGGGATGTGGACTGGTCCTGCGTCGTAGACCCATTCTCAGCTGGGTCTGCTGGCCACGTCAAGTACGCTTCGTCCTGGCCCTTGACCTCCAACAGCTCCTGAGCTGGGGATGCATCCAGTGCTATGACAGATGTGTCCTTGGCCGTGGATAGTTCTTGCACTGTGAACGCATCTTGGGCTGTGGGTGTTATCTGGGCCGTGGACACCTCCTCCTCCTCTTCCTCCTCCAGAGTCAGCTCAAACTGGAACTTATCAGGTTGGGGTGGGTGGCCTGGCCCTCCGGGCTCCTCCTCAGGTGGTGGTGAAGGGCTCTGCCGAATGGCGCTGTAGTACCAGTCCCGGTTGTCCTCCAATGTATCCAGGATCTCCTGGGCATCCGGGTGGACCAGGTCAGCCCACGTCTCCCACAGCGGGTGCACGATATAGTCGATGAAACCCACCTGGGGGAAGAGAAAGAAAGTATCAACACGTCACCTCCTGGTGTGGATGGCACCACCACGATGTGGGATCTATGAAAATTAAAAAGATGTTTGTACCATTTGACCCAGCAATTTTGCTTCTCCAGATCTACCCTGGAAAAGCTCTTGCTTTTTGTAAACAAAAACGGGAAACAACTCAATACATACATCAATGGGAGATTAGTTTTTAAAAAATAAAATCATGGTACATTACATGTGTTCATTATTACAGGTTATGGTGAAAATGAAACCTCACAGTAGACGGCTAGCTAATACCCTGACTTCCCTTTCCCTCCTTCCTTCTTTTTTTCTCTATATATTTTACTTAGTTGTTGAAAATACACGCAGCAGAACATACACCAATTCAACAGTTTCTACATGTACAATTCACTGACATTGATTACATTTTTTGATCGTGCAACCCTTCTCACCCTCTTTTTCTGAGTTGTTCCTCCCTCATTAACATAACTCACTGTTCTCTAGGGTTCCTATCTAAACTTTTGAGTTGCTGTTATCAATTTGATCCCATATAGATAGTTCTTAAAAGAGCATACTGCACAAGGCAGACATTTTTTACTAATTAAGCTAAACTATTAGACTTCAGAGGATACTTTTGGTTTAAGGTTTAAAGATTATCTCAGGGCAATAGTTTTGGGAGTTCATCCAGCCTCTATGGCTCCAGAAAGTCTGGATTCCATAAGAATTTGAGATTCTGTTCTGCTCCCTTCCCTCCTTCTTATTCATAGAACCCTGATGTTCTTGAGGGAGATAATGCATTCAGCTGAAAACTCTTTCCCAGTCTCCCCTGCAAAGAGGGCATGGCCAACTGACTGTCTATAGATGGAAGATGCCGAGGGCTGCCTTAGTTGGCATTGGCCATTCCTCCCTGAAATGTAGCCAGAATCTACAGCATCTGTGCCTATGAAGAGGAGCCCTGGTGGTGCAGTAATTAAGCGCTAGGCTGCTAACTGAAAGGTCAGTGGTTCAAACTTACCAGCTTCTCCCTGGGAGAAAGATGTGGCAGTCAGCTTCTGTAAAGATTACAGCCTTGGAAACCCAATGGGGCAGTTCTACTCTGTCCTACAGGTTCGCTATGAGTCGCAATTGACTCAGCCGCATCCCAAAGATGGAAGCCCCACACTTCACGTGATGGACAGAAACACTGAAGGCTCCTGGTGCCTGTAAAGCCTCTGTTCCTGCACCAGATTCCCTTTCTCTAGACTTTTCTTGGAGTCCCTGGGTGGCACAAACGGTTAAGTTCTCAACTATTAGCTGAAAGGTTGGCAGTTCAAACCCACCTAGTGGCACCTTGGGAGACAGGCCTGGCAATCTGCTCCCAAAAGGTCACAGCCTTGAAAACCCTATGGAGCAGTTCTACTCCGCACCCATGGGGTTGCCACGAGTTGGAACTGACTTGATGGCAACTAACTATAACAACAACAACAGACTTTTCTTATCTGAAAGAAAAAAAAAAATTAAGCTTTATCTTGTGTAAGTCACTGTGAATTCCTAACAGCTAAAAACCTAAATGTTCATCAACAAGAGAATGACTAAATAAACCACCATGTATCTATATCTACTAGAATACTATACAGCAATAAAAAAGGATGAACTAAATCTACGTGTGATACATTGGAAATATCTCCAGGTCATCACTGGGAGATCAAAGCAAGCTGTATACAAATAGGTATATACTGATACAATTGACAGTTTTTTTTAAAAAAAAAAAAACCTAAACACACCAATATTGCTACTGAGTTGCCTATGAAAATAACTGTATAAAACATGTAGAACAGTGGTTCTCAGTGGGGTGGGGGTGGGGATTATGGGGTAATTTTTCCACTTAGGGGATATTTGGCAATGTCTGGAGATAGTTTTGGTTGTCACAAATGGGGAGCAGGGCTCCTGGCATCTAGTGGGTGGAGGACAGGGATGCTGCTCAACACCCTGCAATGCACAGGATGACCCCATCACAGAGAATAATTGAGCTCCAAATGTTAGCATTGTGCCAGTGTTGGGACACCCTGGTCTGGAAGAATGTCCACACCAAAGCGAGAAGGATGGCTATCACCAAGAAGGAGACTGGAAGAGAGGAGGGTGAGAAGCTGTCACGTTCGCATTTCAGAGTTAAGTCTTTTACAACGAGATTGTGTTCATATATCTCTTGATACAGGACAAGTCATTGCACCTCATTTTGAAATCCACTGAAAATCAAGGACAGTATTAGTCCCTAGGTGGTGCAAACAGTTAATGCACTCGGCTGCTAACCGAAAGGTTGGTGGTTTGAATCCATCCAGAGGCAGCTCGGAAGAAAGTCCTGGTGATCTACTTCCAAAAAAATCAGCCATTGAGAACCCTCTGGATCTGACACACAAATCAACTTGATGGTGACTTTTTTTTGGCAGGTACAGCCACCACTCGTCTGTCAGTGGAGGCTTGCGTGTTGCTATGATGCTAGGTTTCAGCAGAGATTCCAGAAAGATGAACTAGGAAGAAAGGCCTGGCAATCTATTTCCAAAAATCAACTAATGAAAACCCTATGGATCATAACGGTCTAATTCTGTTCATTCTGCATGGGGGTTGCCATGAGTTAGAGGTGACTCAATGGCACCTAACAACAGTTGGCCATGTCACTGGGACACTGAGGCTAAAATAACATAAGGTCCTTAAATAAGAGTCAGGCAAGTATCATTACTGATGTTATGGTGGTTGCTGCAAATGAGTAAGAACTGTCTGAGGGCAGGTCTACAAATTTGAGTTCTGAGGCTCAGTTTGGTTGTTCTGTGGAGAAGAAATCATGGCATATTTTCCATCAAGATAGAATAGGGGAAAAAAGAGAACAAGTTCGATGCTGTGTAGTCAAGAGAGGCAGGTGAGGGTCTCCTGGGTCCTGGGGCTCTAGGCCAGGCCAGGATAGGGTGGGGAGGCCTCTCTGCTCTCTTCCAGCCATGGCCCTGTACTCTACCTGGGACTTCTCCACGGAGGCCGTGTGCTTGTCACACATGGGGCTGATCTCCATGCCACGCTCACGCTCCCGGTCCCCCTGCTGGAAGAACTCGGCCATGATGCGGTCTGTCCACTGGCGGTACAGCTCCAGCGGCTTGGTAGGGTTGCTGAGGTCAGCGCAGTGCACCATGTTCCGCAGGACCTGCACGGGGTGGGCAGGGGCCTTCAGGGATCATGTCCCTGGCCCAATCTGGGGCCTTGGACTTCCTTACCTCCCAACTGGGGGAGAGGGAGTGGGGAAAAGAGTGGGGAGGGGGGGAAGAGAGAGTAGGAGGCAGAGGGAGAGGGTGGTGCATGGTGGGGGAGATGGGAAGGGGTTGATGAGAGGGCAGGGGGAGCTGGCGGTGATGAGGGAAAATGGGGGCTTTGGGAGGAGAAGATGGGGGAGCAGAGAAAACTACAGAGGACGGGGAGATGGACAAGACGGGATAGAGACTGGATAAGGGGCAGCAGCCCAGATGGAAAGGGGTGAGGGGAGTAGAGAGCGTCCAGTCTCCTTATTGGGTGGGGGTGGGGGGGCGCCACCTGGATTCGGTCAGAGTAGTTGTCCAGCAGGAGGACCCCCGAGCTGGTCACTTTCTTGGTCTCCACCATGGTCTTCAAGTCAGCCAGGAGGGTCATGTGCTTGGACATGTCTGTGGCCAGCACCTGGGGGCAAGGGGGCAAGGTTACTGGGGCTGCTGAAGCCATGCAGGGGCAATGCGCAGAACCCATTTCCCCTAAAGGCTGCCTTCCCACCCAGGCCCAGGCCCAGTCCTCCCCGCTTAGCCGGGCTCCTGCGAGGCTCTGACCCATCCCTACCCAAGACCCGCTTCCCGCAGGCCCCGCCCCCATCCCGCCCACCATGTCGATGACCATCTTGCGTAGGCTCTGCCGCTGGCGTTTGCTGAGGTTCTGGAAGATGTCGCAGTTGTCCTCCTGCAGCAGCTTGAAGCCCACGGCCAGGTGGTGGTTCTCGAGCACCGACTCGTCGTTGTACATGAGTGCCAGCTCCGAATCTGTGGCCCAGGCCCGCGGTCAGGGGCGGGCCCACCGGGAGCCCTGCCCCCACCCTGCCAGCCCTGCCTCCGCAAGGGCAACTCACTGGTGTTGATAAGGAACTGGTTGGAGACCCCAGGGTGGTCCACATCGTGGATGGCAGCCGCGAAGAGGGCAGCGAGGATCTCCAGGTCCGTGAACACGGCCTGCGGGCAGAGAGAGGGGTCAGAGAGAGAGACAGAGGTCGGAAAGATGGGGATCAGAGAGGGAGGTGGGAGTCAAAGGGATGGGGCCAGGGAGGGGGAGGGGGTCAGAAGGATGGAGGTCAGGGAGGGAGGAGGGGGTCAGAGAGATGAGGGTCAGG